TATGCATTGCAACCAGACACTTGTGTTGCAGAGTTGGAAAACAAGTCACGTTTTAGGATCAGAGCTGTAATAAATGGTTATTTATCAACACAAAAACCTCATGTTACTATATCTGTTAATCAATATTATATATAGATTTATTAATTTTGTTGTATTGGATATGTGACCTGTTTTGGCAAAATAAGTCACAATGAGTGTTTCTTGTTCTGTATCTTTAGATTGATGTACTATTAAGGTCAAACAGTTTAATATCCATCCCAACACCCCACAGCTGATTCTTTTACAACTCCTCACAGGCATCTGCTCCATATGCTCTTTGTCAGAAAACTGAATATGCCAACTTCCCCGGTGATTTGGGACAAGCTGGACTGTTTAGCAGTGAGGCAGGATGCTATCAAAACAAGAGTGAAACTTGTGACAATCTGCTTTGTGAACCAAAAAGCCTATTTTTTAGGATTTGAACCCTTCATGCTCATCTGAGGGTTTCTCGCTCCGTCAGATGAAATACATTTTCAGGCAGGCTGCTCTGCAAACCTCCTCCTTCAACGAAAAGATAAACCCATCAAGTTCATCTGCAATTCTGTAGCAATAACCAGATCTGAGCCGTCAAGTCAAGGTTTTTAGGAAGCTGATGAAATTCCAGAGGGTGGAGTGAAAAGCCTGCAACTGAGGTGCATCTTATGCATCACAAGGATCAATGAATGTAGGTAATCTTTAACTCTTATGTATTCAAAAAAGGACTTCTTTTTTTTTTTTACTTCAGACCTGAAAGCAGAACACAAATTAAATGAGGAAGAAATAGAGGAAACTTCCAGGTACCATCAAGTCTGTGATGGACTTGTGAGTATTTATTTCCTTTTAAACTTCAGTTCTACAATGTCGGCACCAACCGTATGACTTTCCTTTTTTTTCCTGACAATCTTTAAAATACTGTAGTGCTCTCCCAATACTGATACTGATGTCGGTATTGTTAACGGTTCCGATACCAGCATTTTTACAAAAACCTGTACTCGTACAAAATGCACTGATACCTGGAACCGATACCAACACCAGTATTGATCTAGGGATACTGGTATCGATACTCCATTGAATGTGTCACCGTGTACATTTGTAAATGAAAAGTTTGTTGGCTCTATGTTTAAAATTTATACAAGTTGAAAGAAATCTTACAGTATTTGTTATTCATTTTATGAATATATATATATAT